AAGAGGAGAGGGGGGAGAAAGGGGTGGGGGGGGGGGGGGGGGGGGGGAGACGACTAGCAAGGTTCACTTATATTATTGCAGGTTGTCTTTAGATTTGGAGCATTTCCTAATCCTTTGCATGGAGCCCGGTGAACTAATCAGAAAGCGGATATAAACATGTATAACAAAGTCCCTTTTTATGACAGAGACCATTATACAGAGCAGACTTTGGCAGCCTGCTGCCCCTAGCTGTGGAGGAGCTATAAATCCCAGCATGCTTTCCTTTGGCTTGCCCTGTAAGTCTCTAAGCAGCTATAGGACAGGGACTGGAGTGCCTCTGTTTTTTAAGAAGCCAGCCAGAGGGTAAAGAGCCCCATCGGCTGATATAAGTAGCATCTGCTATTCAATAACCCCCCCCCCCCCTCCTTCTCTGCTCCAACAGTGTTCCCGACCCTCCCGCACACCCTCCAGGAGGACTGGAAATCCATGCAGCTCCAAAGGATGTTGGACATGCAAGTGGGACGTATAGAAGGTATTTCCTCCAAATGGGACTATGAGAAAAATCAGTGGAAGAAGTGAGAAGGGGCCGAGGAGGAGAAGGAGATCTGTTACCAGAACCGGCACAAGTCCAATATCCGTGCACATAACCCGTGTTTGTGTAACTTTTCACCATCAGCGCACAATTAAATTCAGTCAATCTACTTTATTCCTCAATTGCTCACTTGTAACACTTTCCTGTTTGCAGGACAGCATGGGTCTCCTTAGTCTACCTATCAGAAATGGGGACGGTTTGTATTGACTCCAATGGCATACCCAAAGCCGGCTGGACAAATCTCTGACAGCCAGGGCTGGATTTCCCACAAGGCCAACCAAGGCCCGGCCCTGGGGCAGTAGGGAGTAGAGGGGCAGCAGGAGTGTGGAATTCCTAACTCCCGATGCCCGGGACATGCAGTTCCGGGCGCCGGGTGGGTAGTTTTCTACATTTAGCCCTGCTTTGGGCAAGCAGGGCTAAATGTACAGCCGGGAAGCCGCCGCTCGTTTTGTACAAGTGATGCCGCTGATGCTATGTCATCCTCCATGGGGGGGAGGGGGGTATTGGCGCGTAGGGGGGCGCATTGAGGAACCTGGCCTTGGGGCTGCAGAAAGAGTAAATCCGGCCCTGCTGACAGCGGTTCTAACCCAATACAACTCTATCCAAAACTGCTGAGGACAGGGCCACTGGGTAGTTGCCGAGGACAGGGCCACTGGGTAATTGCCGAGGACAGGGCCACTGGGTAATTGCCGAGGACAGGGCCACTGGGTAATTGCCGAGGACAGGGCCACTGGGTAATTGCCGAGGACAGGGCCACTGGGTAATTGCCGAGGACAGGGCCACTGGGTAATTGCCGAGGACAGGGCCACTGGGTAATTGCCGAGGACAGGGCCACTGGGTAATTGCCGAGGACAGGGCCACTGGGTAATTGCCGAGGACAGGGCCACTGGGTAATTGCCGAGGACAGGGCCACTGGGTAATTGCCGAGGACAGGGCCACTGGGTAATTGCCGAGGACAGGGCCACTGGGTAATTGCCGAGGACAGGGCCACTGGGTAATTGCCGAGGACAGGGCCACTGGGTAATTGCCGAGGACAGGGCCACTGGGTAATTGCCGAGGACAGGGCCACTGGGTAATTGCCGAGGACAGGGCCACTGGGTAATTGCCGAGGACAGGGCCACTGGGTAATTGCCGAGGACAGGGCCACTGGGTAATTGCCGAGGACAGGGCCACTGGGTAATTGCCGAGGACAGGGCCACTGGGTAATTGCCGAGGACAGGGCCACTGGGTAATTGCCGAGGACAGGGCCACTGGGCAGGAGGTATATTTTGTGGCCTCAGGCGGTCTTTTCTATCAAGTAAAAAAAAATAAAGAAATTTGGAAAACCCCACAAAATGGTAATATAATAATAATAATAAAAAATATAAAACTATTAAAAAGCAAAATCTTGAAATAACAATAAATAAAAACCTAATAAAAAAGCAAAATAATGAAATAATAATAACCATAATAAACCTAATTTAAAAAAATAACATTTAAAAAACAAAATAATGAAATAATAATAAAAACCTAATAAAAAGCAAGATAATGAAATAATAACAAACAACTAATAAAAAAGCATAATAATGAAATAATCATAAATAAAATTCCATAAAGACAAATAAACAGGGGCTTAAGTGTTGCCCGTTCTATATAAATAAAACAAATACATTTTGGCTGGAAATAAAAAGAAATAAAGACATACAATATACGCTGTAAAGGGCATTTTTGCATCAAGGAGGATTTTTTCGTGAAACCAGACTTATCTCCAATGCTCACCATTGGGAGGGGTTACCTTATAGAAGTGGTGGACAACCTCTGGCCCTCCATCTGTGGGGAAACCACAAATCCCATCATGTATCTGCCTCTGGGAGTCTGGGAGCCTTGCGATGCATCATGGGATTTGTAGTTGCGGCACAGCTGGAGGTCCGGTGTTTGGTTACCCCTGCCATATAGGATCACATCACTACATAAACATATGTACAGTCTATGTAAAGAAAGAGGAACCGGAGAGGGGAGATGAGACCAGCTTAGTAATTGTGGCTACAAGCCTACCTCTATATTTAGAGCCCTCGGCGGTGCGCTGTGGACCTCGGCCTTGTCACTCATGCAATTCTAGAAGTGAAAAGAAATGGTTATATATGACATGAGGAAAGAGGATCCTGGGATCCTTCACAGTGATGCATGGATAGGCCTCCACATCTCTGCAGGAAACTCACACATCTCATAGTTACATCAATATACCCGTTCCAGTGTAGGCCAAGTGCGGCACAATGACAGGAAATGGGCCGGGTTCTGGGACACATCACTCTTTAGCTCACCCGCCTTTACTTTTACGATTATACATTTCACAATGTAGGTAAGTCTGTTATTAACTTGTAGAAGTAGCAAGGGCACAGTCCTGGAGCTGTGGGAGGGGCCCAATAGGCTCCACCCACTAGTATCCCTGCAGGAAACTGCAGGAGGGGGTGGAGACAAGACCAGGTCACACTACACAAGGAGAGAGAGCGGCAGCGACCGGTCTATATCACAGGAGGGGATGGAGACAAGACCAGTCACCCTGCACAAGGGGAGAGAGCAGCAGTGACCGGTCTTTATTACAGGAGGGGGCGGAGACAAGACCAGTCATCCTGCAGAAGGAGGGCAGCAGTGAGTGGTCTTTATTACAGGAGGGAGCAGAGACAAGACCAGTCACCCTGCACAAGGAGAGAGTGCAGCAGTGGCTGACCTTATTACAGGAGGTGGCGGAGACAAGACCAGTCACCCTGCACAAGGAGAGAGAGCAGCAGTGAGTGGTCTGTATTACAGGAGGGGGGCGGAGACAAGACCAGTCACCCTGCACAAGGAGAGAGAGCAGCAGTGAGCGGTGTGTGTCCTGTTTGCTCTGGTTTCCAGTTTTTGCAGGGAATTTGATCCAGCTATCCCAGGCCTCCTGGCCCCTTGTTGGGGTAGCCATGGAGGTCGGGGGGACTTCGTCTGGGAGCTCTCAGCCATGTCCTGAGCTGAGGAGCGAGATACCTGCTGGTGCAGGTGCTTGTAATTTATCTGCCCCTGCTGAGGGTGAAGGAGCTGACTCCATTCGGGAGAGAGTGGTCACCGGCATCCGGATGGTGAACAAGGAGAGAGACAAGCTCTATAAGCTTAGAGCGGAGTGCAGGCGGCTGAAGAAGCAGCGCAGTGGGCTGTACAGCCAGAACCGTGCCTCTTTGGACACAGAGATCCGGCAGTTGAAAGAGCAGGTGGAGCTCCAGGAGTCCATTTTGAATCAGGCCTCCCTGACTTGCAGGAGTCTCTCTCCGGGTGTGTGGCTGTCTGTCTCTTATCACCCTAGATTTTGTTCTTTAAGATTTTTGAAAAATGGCTGCGCGCATAGGTGACGGGTTGGGCCTCTTAGGCCTTCTCTGCTGCTTTATGTAAATAGGTTGTAGATCTTGAAGCTTGAGTCCATTTATGCAGTGATTAGGCTTTATTGCCTGTCTGTATATACAGTGTGTATATAATTTTGTGGTGTACTGTATATTTATGGTTTTGTTTCTGTACAGTTAATATTATGGTTATGTTTTGTTATTTTTTTTATATAAACGTTGCTTGAGTCTTTTAATAAAAAGATTAGCAGCAGTGACCGGTCTTTATTACAGGAGGGGGAGGAGACAAGACCAGTCACCCTGCACAAGGAGAGAGAGCAGCAGTGAGCGGTCTGTATTACAGGAGGGGGCGGAGACAAGACAAGTCACCCTGCACAAGGAGAGAGAGCAGCAGTGATCGGTCTGTATTACAGGAGGGGGGCGGGGACAAGACCAGTCACCCTGCACAAAAGAGAGAGAGCAGCAAGTGACCGGTCTGTATTACAGGGAGCTCCACGTCTCACACTAGATTACTGCACAGATCTGGAAGAAATACACAAAGCTCACCCAGATACAAATAAGAATACACAGGACTCTTGTATTTAGATAATATTTGCTTATCCCGTTAGTCCAGTTTTGAATATTTACATAATAAGGATTGTATAAAGTGCATGTAAACCTCTTAAAAATGAACATCTCGTTTGCTCAGCTTTAGTCGGATACACACACACACACACACACACACACCATTAAAAGCCTTTTGTTATATCTCTTTAAATGCAAAAAAAAAACAAAAAAAAACCTGGTCAAAATTCAGAGCCGTGTCCACTTCCTGTGATATCTCAAGGAGAGTAACTAATCTTCCCAGTACTCATCTTGGACTACAGAACGATTACCCTCTATGTTATGGAGACTAAGTGGGTTTGGATAGTTGGGCAAGAAAAATAAATAAATTGGGCAGGGCTGACACCACTCCGCCCACAAAAATGCTGTGCGTTCTCATCTCATAAAAGGACAGACCAACCAAGGGGGGGGCGGATGAACGTCATGATATCCCCTCATTCAATCACAGAACGCAATATATTCAGTGAACAGAATACAAGATGTTTTTTTATGGGCGAGATGGAGAGCGAGGGACCTGCCCTCAGCAGTGTGCTAGAGCTGGAACAGGCGGCCCCAGCACCAAAACAAGAGCGCTGTGGGAGGAGCCAGCAGCAATGAAGAGAAGATATGTACAGTAAGCAACAGAATGCCCCTCTGTTGAGGTACCTTATAGATTATTAATATTAAATCTATAACTAGGGATGCACCGATACTAGTATTAATGCCGATACACACTATTTGGGTGAGCACGAATGCTCCGATGCCTCGCCCAATACCCGAGCTTCTGGTCTCAGGAAGAAGGCCAATGAGGAAGCCAGACGGCAAGTCATTAACCGCCCCCCTACTTCCTGATTGACCAGAAAGCCGGCTTCTTCCTCCCTCGTCACCTGGTGAGGAGGGAGCATGGAGACGGCTTCCCGGCTAATTGGGAAGCCAGGCGGGGAGTCATTATACGCCGCCCGGCTAATCAGGAAGCCAGGTGGGGAGTCATTATACGCCGCCCGGCTAATCAGGAAGCCAGGCGGCAAGTCATTATTCACTGCCTGGCTTTCTTAGTGGGACTTGCGTTATCAGTGAGTACCGAAAAAAAATATCGCTACTTGTATTCGATACCGAAAGAACAGTATTGGTGCATCTCTAACCCTATACCAGGGGTGGGCAACTCCAGCCCTCCAGCTGTGCTTTAGCTACATACCTCTGCCTCTGGGAGTCATGCCTGTAACCGTCAGCCTTGCAATGCATCATGGGACTTTTAGTTCCACAACAGCTGGGGGTCTGGTGTTGCCCACCCCTGCTATAGGGAAGAGAGATTGTGTATA